CTCATTTGGACCAATCAATCAGTTTCCCTTTCTCTCATTTTCTCCACACTTCACCAGCAATTTGTGATTTTCTTTTAAAACCTCATGAAAATTACTCAGCATTTTGGTGCAAATGTCTCCCAATGAATGCAATTTTGCATTAAGTACATCATTTTACAGTTTCCCCATATATATGCATTTTGGTACACATTGCGTGGTTGGAGAACGGCTTTGCAAATTTCAAGGAAGAGCAAATTTTGAAAACTAGCCACTTTTTGGTTCATGCCTCGGTTTGAGAAGTGTGAATCTGGTTGTTTCTCATTAAAATCCGACCGAAACCTAATCTCTCCCCCATCCCTTAAGCCTAGCCCAGGGATGGTGAACCTGAACTTCCTCCAAATACTGCTGGCTCCAACAGCAAGTGGATGGCTCAGTTGGCTAGAGGGTGGTGCTGATAATGTCAAGGTTGCAGGTTCCATCCCCATATGGGACAGCCGAATATTCCTGCGTTGCAGGGGTTTGGACTAGATGATCCTCAGGGTCCCTTCCATCGCTATGTTTCTTTATCAGCTCCCTGCACTCCTGACGAACGCCCATGCTGGCTGGGGCTGATGGGAGCTGATGTCTAACTACATGTGGAGCGCCACAGGCTCCCTATCTTTGCATTAGCTACTGCACCATGCAAACACACCAATGGGATCAGTTTCCCCATTTGTAACACATGCAGTGAGAAACAAGCAAGGCTCCCTGGTGCCCACAAAGCTATTCTATGGCCGACACATACCTATTGCAAGCAATACATGCTAGCTACAGCATGAATGATATTTCTGTATGAAAAGCCATCCTTTACATTTAAGTGGCGTACGAGCAAGTTGAAAAGTGAGGGGTGTGTGTGTGAAAGACTCCATCGCCGAGGCCGCAAATGCATCACATTTAGCTCTAATTCATCCCGAACTAATTAAAATGGAAAAAGTGTATTATACTGCTTCCCCCTAGCAAATTAGATTTATAATGTACCAGAGGGTGCGGTACCCAAAACAACTGGAGGGTACGCACACAGTTTATTATTCTGATGCCGTTTCCATTATTAAAGGAACGGGGGAAATGGTGCAGGATATCATTAATCTCTTTTTCAGAAGCGAAGGGAGTCAAAACGAGTTTGGAATAATGTGGTGGGGGCCGGAAAGTTGGAAGTGGCTAATGTGAGCAAAATTCGGGGGGGGGGGGGAGGAGAAGGGTGTCAATTTTGTATTTCCATGATTCTCATCCCTTGAGATCCTGTCCTATCTGGGGCAGAGGCTGAGTGGTGGGTACAAAGGAGTGGAATCTTGCTGTGTTGGGAAAGGAATTGACTCCTGACAAGACAGAAGTACTGTTTTGGGTGTGGGGGACTCCCTGGTCCTGAATGGAGTAGCTGTGCCCCTGAAGGAGCAGGTGCACAGCCTGGGAGTCATTTTGGACTCACAGCTGTCCATGGAGACACAGGTCAACTCTGTGTCCAGGGCAGCTCCATCTGGTATGCAGGCTGAGACCCTACCTGCCCACGGACTGTCTTGCCAGAGTGGTGCACGCTCCAGTTATCTCTCGCTTGGACTACTGCAATGTGCTTTACGTGGGGCTACCTTTGAAGGTGACTCGGAAACTACAACTAATCCAGAATGCGGCAGCTAGACTGGGGACTGGGAGCGGCTGCCAAGACCACATAACACCGGTCCTGAAAGACCTACATTGGCTCCCAGTGTGTTTCCGAGCACAATTCAAAGTGTTGGTGCTGACCTTTAAATCCCTAAACGGCCTTGGCCCAGTATACCTGAAGGAGCGTCTCCACCCCCATCGTTCAGCCCAGACACTGAGGTCCAGCTCCGAGGGCCTTCTGGTGGTTCCCTCCCTGCGAGAAGCAAAGTTACAGGGAACCAGGCAGAGGGCCTTCTCGGTAGTGGCGCCTGCTCTGTGGAATGCCCTCCCACCAGATGTCAAGGAAATAAACAACTATCTGACTTTTAGAAGACATCTGAAGGCAGCCCTGTTTAGGGAAGTTTTTAATGTTTGATGATTTATTGTATTATTAATATTTTGTTGGAAGCTGCCCAGAGTGGCTGGGGAAACCCAGGCAGATGGGCAGGGTATAAATAAATAAATAAATAAATAAATAAATAGGAAAGGCCCGTAGCTCAGTGACAGAGCATCTGTTTGCATCTCCTGTTGGGGTTCTGATTGTCCCCTGCCTGAAACCCTGTAGAGCCACAGCCAGTCAGCGTAGGCAGGCAAGACTGAACTAGATGGACCATTGTGTCCGACTCGGTATAAGGCAGCTTCTTATCTGCAGAGGGATAGGCTTTCCAGAGCCAATTATTGCTTATTTGAGGACAACCAAAGAAAGCCCCCCAAAGCAGCTTTCAAGTGTCACTGAGAAGACAGCCCCTGCCCTTATTCTCTAAGAGACATGGCACAGAAAGGAAAGTGTCTGGGACGGAGGAAGAAAAAAGCAAGCTCAGATATGAATTGGTGGCTACAGAGACCTTGTAGAGGGCAACAGGAAGGGAAAGAAGTTGGAGAGGACCCAAAACTGGCTGGTCATTCATCAGAGCTGGTGGAAAGGTCCTATAACCCCCCCTCTCTCTACACACACACACACACACACACACAGAGAGAGAGAGAGAGAGAGAGAGAGAGAGAGAGAGAGACAGAGAAATATGAAGAATGAAGGCAATAGACTTGCTCCACTGTTGTTCCCAACTACTGATATTCAGAACCATGTTATCACCTCTGATCCTGGAATTAGCATATAGCCAACATGACTAAGTCGTCACTGAAAGCCTTGCTCTCCACCTATTTCTCTAATCCCCTTTCAAAGCTGTCCAAGACGGTGGTCATCATGCATCTTGTGCTGGGGAGTTCCACTGTTTCAACCGTGCTCTGTGTAAAGAGCTGTTTCCTTTCTATGCCTAGATATTTTCTCTTGCATTTTCCTGGAGCAGAGAAACAGAGATATCTGAGCCACCTGCCTTGGTTCTTAATTTCATTCTGCTTGGTGTGTGTGTGTTTAATGCTTCCAGGATGTGTGGAAATTTAGCCTTCATGAAGTCCGGAGAGCATTTATACCAATGAGAAATGAAAGAAAACATCAATAAATCATCCCGTGTCAACAGTCTTCCCAATTTACAGAATAGCTCAGAGCAGAGAGCTAGGTTTGCAGAGCTGAATTATACTTAAAATGTGGGGCGGGGGAGTCTCAATCTGTTTGAAGCACAGTTATTAAAAGTTGCGAGGAAAACATACACTCTCAAGACAACAGGGTGCCTTGGAGGCTAAATGCTGGAGGTGTTCTTCTTAATGCTTAGAGTTTAGCTTTCATAGGCTTTGTCTGAAAAAACGGCCATCTAACTTACTTGTATGGCTGAGAGACTCTTGTCTGAAGGGTGACCTATAAACCTCCAGGTTTATTTATTTTAAAAATCTGGTCGTCATTTCAGAGGCCCGGCTGATAAAATTGTTTACTGCTTTTCTTTCTTCCAATTCAGTGCTAATCCTGTGCAGCAGTAGCGTATTGGACTTGGATGAAAAAACCTGGCTTCAGAGACTCGCTCATGGCACAAGAAAAACCAACGATGAATGTGCAGAGGCGACAGAAACCCCTCCAGCAGCACATCACATTCCCTCAACCTCCGTAAAATCTAAACGAAGACCACCTTCCCCTTTGCAAGTCTGCCCAGACACTGCAGTCACCGGAGGCCCTCCTTTGAGCAAAACGGGGTTCACCGGATTACAGTCATTCACTTCCTATCTCCTCCAACCGGTGCATCACCAGACATCGCAACAACAACGGAGATGATGATGAGATATTTATCCCATGTCACTCTTCTGTTGTGATGACTTCATTTCGATGCTGCTGCATGATTAATGATTAAGGCAGCTGTCACGCTGGTTGATGGATTCTAGTAGCGGGGAGTGACATTTGTGTCTTGTATAGCTTCCCGAAAAGCTGCGTTCTTATTAGCATTGAGAGACACCGTTTGGTTTGGCTCTCCAGTTGATCAAAACCAGGATATTCAAGAAGGGATCACCTCAAGCCTCTGGGTATCGTTGGACTACAACTCACTTCATCCTTAACCACTGGCCAAGCAGGCTATGATGATGATGATGATGATGATGATAATTTATTTATACCCTGCCCATCTGGCTGGGCTTCCCCAGCCACTCTGGCCGGCTTCCAACAAAATATTAAAATACAGTAATCCATCAAACATTAAAAGCTTCCCTAAACAGATGTCTTCTAAAAGTCTGGTAGTTGTTGTTCTCTTTGACATCTGGTGGGAGGACGTTCCACAGGGCGGGTGCCACCACCGAGAAGGCCCTCTGCCTGGTTCCCTCTAACCTCACTTCTCACAGTGAGGGAACTGCCAGAAGGCCCTCGGCGCTGGACCTCAGTGTCCAGGCTAGATGATGGGGATGGAGACACTCTTTCAGGTATATAGGACCGAGGTCATTTAGGGTTACTGGGAGTTGAAGTCCCACATCATCTGGAGGGCCACAGGTCCCCCATCTTTCCATTGGGGGAGAGGTTCTTCTTCTCCCTCCCTCCAAAAAAATTAAGATGGTGGTTCTATGGGTAAAGATAAATAGAAGGTGGGGGGCTTTTCAGTTTGGGATGGGAGAGATTTCAGTGGAGACAGCATTTTAAGCAAGGCCTAGACAGGGCCGACCCACCCATGAGGCAAGGTGAGGTGATTGCCTCAGGCAGCAGGGTCCACCGGGGCAGCAGATCCCGATGTCAATCATTTTTGCCCACCTTGTTCCTGATGTAGATCTTCCCTGGCCCCTTCTTTCCTGGTGGGAAAGAAGGTGCTATTCTGGAGCTGGGGGTCTCAGCTGCCCTGGGTCCAGAGGCCTGCTCCAGAATATACTCAAAATTAAAATAATTGAGAAGCATCTTGCAAAAATATGTGTAGCAGTTCACTTTCTCCCATAAAATCATAGAGCTGGGGGTCATCCAGTCCACCCCGCTGCCATGCAGGGATCTTTTGTCCAGCATGGGGCTTGAACCCACAACCTTGAGATTAAGAGTCTCGTGTTCTACTAACTGAGGTATAGCAATATTAATGTAGCAAAAATCAACATTTGAGGCTGAAGGAAATCTCCACGCGGTGGTGAGAAAACAAAGGGTGTTTATTGCTAGTGAAATAAAAAAATTAAGGTCATATATATTAAATGTTCATAAATGTATATAAATATATAAACCACATGTCTGAAGCAGCACAGGAAAACAGCCCTGGAACCATTTTGACTCCCAAGCTGAACAAATGATTTCTCTGCAAGGTCAAGAAATATGGAAAAGCCTCCCCATTGTCTTTTCATTCACAAATCCTGTCTAAAGGGTACGTCTGTGAATGAATAGGGTGAGCCTGTGACCTGGCTCAGGAACTAAGTATTTATCATTACAAAAGACTGGCCAGGCTTCCCAGGGTATCCAATCAAGTAAGCATTAACAGGTAACCTGCCAGACAGGAGGTAAACAATGCACTCAGATTTCTGCTGTAGACCGCCCTTTCTGTGATATAGGTATGATGTGTCTGGGGTGGTGGTCTTGAGCTACACCCCTTCTGTGATGTATGTATGATGTTTCTGGGAGTGTTCTTGGACTCCAAGGTGGGCAATTTAAAATGTCTATATAAGGGCGGGCCCACCTGGGTTTGGGGTCCTCCTCCTTCTCCTGCGTGTGAGGGGAGACCCTGTTGCAACAGTTCAATAAAGATCAGGCTTACTAGCTGCTTTGCTTCTCAATATTCTCTGGTTGGCCTCTGTTATTTGCTCCAACTGATGGAGAACCTGCAAAGGACTCTATAAGGGCTCTTGTGTCCCCCATTAGGGAATAAGGGCAGATTTTCGTTTATTATACTAGCAATAATGGCTCAGTGGGATCACTCTCCAAAAGCTGAGCAAAGCCCTGAAAGGGTGGGGCCTCCTTAATATACATAGCTGTTATCTGTTAAAGCAACACATATGCATAAACTTCCTCCAATTTGAAGTTACAACACAATACTAATTATACAATGTACGGTCTTTCCTCCATTACCTATTCATTGAGCAAGCGAACAAAGAACTCTCTCTAAGCCATGCCTTGTGGCACGTGATCTCTTTGCACTCCTTTCTACCCGAGGGGGTTAGGACATTTGAAGGTACATCTCAGAACAGCAAGGCATGTCTCCTTTTCAAATGTAGATGCTTAGGAATGTGTTTACAACCTTGGAAGTAAAGATAAGGCACAAGGCCTCTAGCCTGGCTAGTTAGCTGAGCTTATAGGTCTCTATGTGCATCATTAACATAATGCAGATGCTTTGAGGGATAATCCTGGGGAGAGCAAGCTAAAAAATATGATTAATAGAGTATTGGATATACATGCCAAATAAGAAGGAAAGGGAGGGGGCCAAGTTAAAGGTGTTGGTGCCCTATATAAGGCTCCATATGGCTCAGGAACAGCTCCCATTGCTCTGTCCCAGCGCCTGCCAATCTAGCAATTCAAAAGCACACCAGTGCAAGTAGATAAATAGGTACCACTGCGGCAGGAAGGTAAACGGTGTTTCCGTGCACTCTGGTTTCCGTCACGGTGTCCCACTGCGCCAGAAGCGGTTTAGTCATGCTGGTCACATGACCTAGAAAGCTGTCTGTGGACGAATGCCAGCTCCCTTGGCCTGAAAAGCGAGATGAGTGTCGCAACCCCATAGTCACCTTTGACTGGACTTAACCGTCCAGGGGTCCTTTACCTTACTTTACTAGAGACAATGCCTTGTCCCTTATGCACCCCTTATGCAATGTGCAGGAGAGCCTTTTCTGCAGGTTCCAAGGATCTCAGAAGCCCTCCCTGCAGTTAAATCAGAGCAGGGCTTTTTGAGTGGTGGCCCCTATTCTGCAGAATAGCATTCTTGACAAGACATGACAGGCTCCGCCTTTCAGCACTTTCTGAAAACAGTTGAAGGCAGCTTTTATCTGATAGCCTTTCCCAGCTGCATAAATGGATCTTTACCAGAAGTGACCATTTATTAGAGTTTCAGTGTCATCTTAAATGCACATTTGTTGTGCATTTGGTGTTTTTAAATATCTTACATGCAGATCGCCTTGAGATGGTGGCTTTAAAGGCAACGGGTCTGTTTCTATGCTGCTGAAGGAACTGACAAAAGAAGCCACATGATTTCTTTTGTATATGCATGATAATACGAATATGTTAATATGGCTGGGGGAAGAGATTTCAGAGCACCCCATAAGCAGACATTTGTGGCTGTGTTTCTGGAAGGGTTCCTTCTTAAGCTCAGTGGGATTCGTCATGGGTAAGAAACTTCAGGCTCGCAGCCTCCATCTGTCTGCCTTCCCCCATTGGTAGAGCGAGGATAACAACCTCTCTCTCCCCAACAGAGGTGTCGCCAAGACTTTTTTAATTAATCAGCTAATTAATTAATGCAAAGTGGTTGGAGGCCTCTAGACAGAGCTGGCATTACTCTAAGGCAAGAAGCTCATAGCTTATACCCAATGTCATCATCCCCACACAGCTTACTTTCTGTACTCTTTGCAACAACCGCCCTTCCTCCTCCTTAGAGACAGCCAGGAAATTGACCGCAATCACAGAAAATATATTTAAATGCTTCTGGATTTGGGATGAAGACGGGCAGCTACAGACTCTGGGCCAAATCTGGCCATCAAATGCTTCAAACATACCCTCTTATCTGATGAAAATAGGGACATCCTTTTCAATAATAATAATAATAATAATAATAGGAATATTTATACCCTGCCCGACAGCTTCCAACATATATAGGTAAAGGTAAAGGGACCCCTGACCATTAGGTCCAGTCGTGGCCGACTCTGGGGTTGCAGCACTCATCTCGCTTTATTGGCCGAGGGAGCCAGCGTACAGCTTCTGGGTCATGTGGCCAGCATGACTAAGCTGCTTCTGGCGAACCAGAGCAGCTCACAGAAACGCCGTTTACCTTCCCGCCAGAGTGGTACCTACTTATCTACTTGCACTTTGACGCGCTTTCATACTGCTAGGTTGGCAGGAGCAGAGACCGAGCAATGGGAATTCGCCCCGTCGCAGGGATTCGAACTGCCGACCTTCTGATCGGCAAGCCCAAGAGGCTCAGTGGTTTAGACCACAGCGCTACCCGTGTCCCAGTCCAACATATATAAAATCATAATAAAACATTAAACATTTAAAAGCTTCCCTGTATAGGGCAGCCTTCAGGTGTCTTCTAAAGGTTGTACAGTTTAAGGTTACCAGATTTTTTTCAATGAATCCGGGGACACTTTTCAACTTCAGTAGGAATGATAGGATTTTGTATGGGGACTGATTTGTAAATCTGGGGACTGTCCCCTTGAAACGGGGACATCTGGTAACCTTAGTATAGTTGCTTATCACCTTGGGCCAGGGGTGGCATAACTCGTACCCTCCAAAATTTATCAGATAAAAATAGGGGCCTCCTATGGAAAAGCGGGACATTCCAGGATCAAATCAGAAACTGGGACGGCTTCTCTAAATCTGGAAAATAGGGACACTTGGAGGCAGTGGCGTAGCGTGGGGGGTGCAGGGGGGGCCAGCCGCACCAGGCGCAACATCTGGGGGTTAGGGTTAGGGGGCGCAAATCCACAGGTTAGGGGGCGCAAATTACTTGCCTTGCCCCGGGTGCTGACAACCCACGCTACGCCACTGCTTGGAGGGTCTGCCCATGTTTCACCCACTGCCACAGACCTGCCTTTTACCAGGTGAGAGGTAAAAGAGGTTTCAAATGTGCAGAGAAACACCATTTCCTCTCCATCCCCAACGCTCATACATTTTTTTCCCCCTTTCACACTATGCTTCTGTAAAAAAGGCCTTTCCTGAACATATGTGGTTTTCAAAGGTTCTTGCTGCTGGCACAGCCAGTCAGTCTGACACACCACCACTAACTTCTAAAAGAAAGGGGGGTGGAGAGAGGAATATTCATTATTTGAATGAATGGCCTCTCTCTCTCTCTCTCTCTCTCTCTCTCTCTCTCTCTCTCTCTCATATCACTGCAAGTTGGAGAGGGAGCCAGCAGCTAAAGAGGAGGAGGAGAAAAGAATAAGGATGGGGAGATGGAGACCAAGGAAAACAAGAACAGTGATCAATCTGAGGCCAAACACAAGATAACATAGGGCAGGGGTAGGCAACCTAAGGCCCGTGGGCCAAATGCGGCCCAATCACCTTCTCAATCCAGCCCACAGACAGTCTGGGAATCAGCGTGTTTTTACATGAGTAGAATGTGTGCTTTTATTTAAAATGCATCTCTGGGTTATTTGTGGGGCATAGGAATTCGTTCATTCCTCCCCCCCCCAAAAAAAATATAGTCCGGCCCACCACATGGTCTGAGGGACGGTGGACCGGCCCACGGCTGAAAAAGGCTGCTGACCCCTGACATAGGGGGTGCACAGCCATGTGGGTCAAGATGGCAGATTGCTCTCTTGAGCCTTTTTTTTTTCCGAGAGAGAAGAGAGATAGCATGATAACAAAAAGGAGTGTGATGGCCTGGGATTCGGACTCGGATGTTGAACCTGAGGGATCCCAGCCTGCACAGGATTCCCCACCTCCAGAACCAGCTGAGCCGGGGCTGGGGCTTGAGCCTGAAGGGTCCTCACCTGTGCTGGATCCTCAGGTGCAGGCACCAGCTGAGTCTGCTCTGGCTCCTGAGGTGATGGAGGACCCATTGCCTGCAGGTGCTCCACTCTCAGCCCCGTCAGAGGAAGCTGAGGTTGCCTCTGGGTCTGGTAACCCTCCAGCCTCTCCTGAGCTGCAGAGGCTCAGGGCAGAGAGGCGGAGGGAACTAAGTTCCCGCAGGAAGAGTGCTCGCCTCCAGGCAAGGAGAGGCGAGTCACCAGAGGATCGGGGCCGCCCTATGCCTTGGGGCAGATAAAAGCCGGCCAGCCCCAGTCCCAAGTTGCGGGAGCAATGTTGTTGTTTGCTAGTTCCTGCCTGAACCCTGTCCTGCTTTCCTGCCTGAGCTCCTGACCCGCCCTGGCTCCCTGCTTGCATGCCTGTTCCTGACTTCACCCGACTCCCTGCCCTGCACCCAGCTTCAGCTACTACGGA